CATGCAAGCTGTCAGGAAAAAAATGCAGATTTAATGCCTAGCCTGATGCCTTATGCAGAAGTAAATACAAATTGGACAGTGAACAGAATAAGGAGAAACGTATGGCATTGTAGAGGATAGCTTTCCTTCATTCAGCTCTCTGCTGTCATCGTACTTCAACTCAAGTTATTTTGGGATAATAGCAAAATGTTACAGTTACTGCCTTAGCTAATACTTCCCTCCCAACCCCCAACTCACATATTTAAAAATCAGGTCTCTTTTGTCACAGGTAGGAAATTATTCATTCAGACTTCACCTGACAAAGCCAGAGTAAATAGCCTGTGCTCACTTAAATGGTAGCTCCTTCATTTTGAGAGGAGTATAGCAAATATAGCAAAATGGAGTTCAAGACCCCACCCCAAACTAAGCAAAACGTTTAAAATATTTAAGTGTTGGTTCAAGTTCCTAATGTCTACCTCATTGTCACCATTTATTAGAACTGGAAGCTAAAATGGAACTGTCTCCCTGAAAGCAAATTTAGAGCATCACAGCTGCAGGCACCCAGCAACAGGGGCTCAAAATGACACAAAAACTCCACCTGACTGAAAAAGTCAAGTGTCACCCTTTTTCGGTCCTCCTTTAAGTAGGGACAAAGTGATAAAAGATTCTTAAAGGACATGGATTCCTAACTTTTCAGTTCCTCATATTCAGATATATTTCCAGGTCTGCCCTAAATATGGGCTTTAGAAAGACAACGAAAGCACCATGTTCCCATGCTTCTCCGTATGTTTTGAAAACTATGGAAAGAAATGAAATAAACAATGCTTTACCCTCTGAACTTCTTCTGAGCAGAGGGAGAAACAGGGGCAATCCCATGGTCTTGGCTCCAAAACCACAGGTTGGCATTGACTTGCTCTGCTAACATCTCTGTCTACAGAGATGATGGTAAAGGCATTATACTTGCTACTAAACAGACATCTCTACATCTGGATTAGCAGGTATGTAGATTAGACTGAAGTAGAGTAGCTGGTTTGCTTTTTTCAATGTTTTTATAGAAAGACAGGAAGAGAATGGTGATAAGTTTATCTATTGCCAAACAGGTACGTTCCTCATTATCCAGAGTAGAACAATCATTTCATAACTGAGCAATGCTTCTCAAACAAGAGATTAACTAGCTGCAAACAAAACCTAGATTTTGCCTTGGGAAATCAGATATTCTTTTACATAGTGAGGCTTTATCTACCATCTATCCACACTTCTTAAGGGTTGCAGTATGAAAAAGATCGAAGTGAGGAATTCACAACACTGAGAAGTACCTCCACCTAATAAGATTACTCAAACAGGAAAGGTAGTGTGCTGCCACATGTGGCACTACAATAAGCCCCACAAATACACGTAATGTTGACTTTTACTGATGTTGTTAAAGGTGAGGTTGACATTCCTAGCAGAATTTACAGCTGCAAAAATCCATATGGCTCTCCCTAACACCTGTTAATATCATATCAATCTGTTTTGAGTAAGTTTAAGACCATTTCCTTGCTTCCACTATCACCTAGGAATGCAACAGGAACAACAGACTTTCAAGACAGCAAAATGCACATGCAGGAGTTCTTCAGTTCAAAAATGTCATAAAGTTCCCAGCAGCATCTTAAGTTGTCACTTAAAAATCCCTCTGGAAAAATATAAAATTACCGATAAGGAAGATTTTGATTCTACTTGACATAAAGAAAAGCAGTCCTTTTACACAACCTCTTACTGGCCTTTTAAAAGGGGCAATGGCCTGCGGTACCATAGTTGTCGTGCCTACTGGGTTTACACTGCAATCTAAATAACCCAGTTTTGGAATCACTTTGAGAAGCTGAAATGTGATTTAGAAGTCATTTTAACAGGTTTGAAACTTTCATTATATGAACTACTTCCTCTGAAGAGGAACATCAATATTTCAGACACAGAAAAATTCTTCCTTTTTCCACTGAGTTAGGCCATTACTCAATACAGCATTATTAAGTAGTTTTTCTCAAACATAACATATTGTTAAGTAGAACACTAGGTTGCAGTTACTTTCATTTGTAAAGAATTTAGAGAAAACAAAGCCTGCTAGACCATAAAATATACATGAACATATATTAATAATATGAGCAAATATGCATGAATTGATGAATATATATCAGTTGAGAAAATATTTTAGCAAATCTTACTTACTCATTTAGCAATAAATGGTGGATTTGAGCTCTTCATTTAGAAATGTACTTTTACACAGATTGAGTTTCCTAAACTTTATGAATACTTTATTGCTTATCTTTTCTAGAACTCTTAACTAGGTCTATTTAGAAATTGATTTTTACACAGAATGAGTTTCTTAAAAGTTTTGAGTACTTTACCACTTAAAACTCTTAAAAGTCTTAATTAGGTCTATTGAAGAGCACAACAGAAAAAAATGTATTTTCCTTGGCATTTGAGTGTACATATATTAAATACTGCAGGGGATTTGGATGAATGATTTACATTAATGTTGACTGGCAGATGACAACCCAGTTTTATGAGAACTTCTGACAAGTCAACATTTGTTTTATTCCGCTCTGGAGAACACAAAACTTTCTTAAATGAGGACTTGAGGGAACCAGGTTCATACTCCCTTGTTTCTTCAGCAAAGCTACCAGACCACTTCATTAGAATAGGAATTCAAACAGAAGTGCCTTACAAGTCAGGTCAACGTCCAGTCACCACGCTGAGAATGAGAAGTCCCTCTTACACATGTTGTTACTAGGTTCCTTAACATCTTTCCAGATGACCTTTTTGTAGATTCTTTTTTCATATATATATATATATATATATATATATATATATATATATATGCAAATTAAATACTTTGAAGAAAATCCCTAAGATTACTTCAGTGGAACCAGGATTTTACCCTATGGTCACAGGCACTTTCTGTACAAGTAGAATATACTCTGACTCTTTTGTGAGTTTATTCTAGAAGCCTGAAATGCAATAGTGTCCCACAATTTCACTGTAGACTTGGCCAGTTATTACCTTCCCACTTCAGGGTTATGCTCTCTCTCCTGATTTATGCAGATTTTAAGATTGGACTCTTTATTCAAAGTCCTTATTCAAACAAACTCCATACAAAAGGGAGAAACCTAAATTCCTGTACAAGGGACAAATGTCAGACTAGGTCTTTAGTAATGGATCTGGGGATTCCTCAGGGTGAAAGACACCATTTCCATTACAATACACAAGTTCATCTTACCATCTTCTACTCAGAAGAAATATCATTTTTTACCTAATAAAATGGAAAAGATGGCATAGTTGATTTTTTTTTTCCTCAGGAGTGTATCAGTGGATGACATTTCTGAAAAGCAGCAAATCACTGCAGATTAAGTCATGCACAGCGACTCAGTACAAGCATGAAGTTTTGTGAGAAAATGACCTAAGCCAAACAGAATGACAAAAGGTCTTGATGTAAAGTCAGACAGAGCACCATTAGTCAGACAGCATCATCCTGGAGGTAAAACACCATCAAAGGCAGTACAAGAGACAAGGGAGCTGACACAATGCAACAAGGAAACAGTAGAGGTTTATTCCTCTCATTATCTTTAAAGTCCAGTAGGAATGCTGCAAGTCTTCCAGGGCCAGTCTGTGATACTAAGTGTATGACATCCTCTATATTCAGTAGAACTAAAGCAAAGTAAGTCCCTACAAGGCTGACATTGAAATGCTGTAGTCAAGAGTGCACTTAGAAACACAGAAGACACAGGATACTTTTTTTTGTCAATCTAGGCTCATGTTCAAAATTTAGGTACAGTTTTATATATTTCAGATGGATGATTTCAAAAAGGAATCATATTTTACAAGAGTTTTTTAACCCATTCACCTGGTTATTTAAATACATCTTCACAAAATCACTGCTTTTAATGATATTTAATAATTAAAAAAAACAGCCCAGAGCATATATTCATCAAACCAGTATGAATTTTATCTGCCAGTAAGTACAGTTTAGGATAGCTTTTGCTTCTTCTACTTCCACTGAAATCAAGGGAAATCCTTCATTCAGAGGTTTAAGTTTCTCTGCATAGCATATATTATATCATAACAAACCTATACTTGAGAGGAGAGCATGGGTGGATAATACTTTTCTTCTCAGTATACGTATATATGTGTATAAAGGGAGGATAAATGGAACAGTAGAGAAAGAAAGAAAGAACGAGCTGACCAAATTCACCTCTGCGCAATATAAACTTGGTGTGTTCCTTTAAGTGCCTCAGCAGGATTTCTGTTTTGCTGAGGATCCTTTACACAGCTCCATGCTGGGTTATTTTTTTATTTTTATTTTCCTGAGGAAAACGCTACTGGTACACGTCAAAGGCAGCTCTATTTGTAACTCTTAGAAGACAAAGCATGTCATAAACACACTGAGCTCCAACATAAAGGACTGCTCCAACACAAAGGATCGCACAAGCTGTTCCAATAGGAGCACAGACAACCTGCACATCTCTGAATGCATCTTCCTTTCCTGCTGCAGGCAACATTTTTTGACTTCTTCCCTAACTGGACAGGTGTGTTGAGCACTCAGACACTTCTAAAATATTAGCATTTATCCAAAACCTGCAGCCCAGATCCAGATGTCCCTGGCCCTTTGGAAAAAAAAATAGATAATAAGAGGCTTGAGTTGCAGAATTTGGCTATTTATAACTCTGTTCACAGTGTTTGCCTCAGCCATTGCGCAGAATAAAAACATGTACTGTTACCAGTGTTTGCTTACTCAAAGTACTACTAGTTACTAGGACAACAATATAGTTGTGTACACCATGAAGACAACAGGTATTTAACATAGTTAAAGTCTGTCTGAGAATCTGTAGAGGAGAGAAAAAAAATGGACATCAGTGTAAGAGTTTGTGTGCCTGTAAGAAGCAAAAGTCTGTGACTCAAACACTACCTCAAACACCCGCAGCTTAGAATAGGCGCCAGTGCGTAAGCAGAGAGCACCCTGAGAAAAGGAGATGAAATCAGAAACTTACGTCATGACCAGTGTCTCATCTCCAGGTTCACTAAGCAATCCATCTACAAAGACTGATGTGCTAGTAAAGTTATGTGTACTCCAAGTCTGGCCTTCATCTATGCTGAACCTGTAAAAAAGCGGAAATGGTTTGCATTTACAACTATTACTATACATAACAGAACTCATTTATTCAAACAAAAAAATCCCCTCACTACTAAAGCCCAGGATTTATGATCACCAAAATACAATATGCCTAGGCAGTATATCATATTAATGTGATCTTTTCCAAGAAACATACCCAGGGGCTCACATCTTTATTAGAAGGTGTATAATAAATTTGCCACAATGGAAATTCTCAGGTGGATAAAACCTGAGGTCTGTCAACAATCTTGCTACCTTGTAGGTTCAAGATGTTAATTTACACTTCATTCTTTCTAGTAGTCTCTGAGCTAGAGACCTGTGAAGCAGAGGTCAGTGAAACATGAGAGGCAAAACAGCCCAGTTGCTAAAACATGTGTAACTGCAGGCACCAAGATGATGGCCGTTCACAGATGCTACCATCCACTTCAAAATTTGTAGAAGATGCTGATCAATCAGCAAAACATACTGCAAATTCTCTGTGTACCCAGAATTTATGAATCAAAGCCTCTTTTCTTCTGTATGTTTCCTCCAGGACTTTTGGATAGTTAATGATGGCTTTATTCTAGCTAACCAAGTACATAGCTTAAGCCCTAATAGTGAATAGACAATTACACAAAAATTAACCTAGTCAGAAGTGATGAAGATATCTTAGGGGTTTTATGCTAACGATGATAGTTTTGTATACCACTACATAAGTTTACCATGTTTTTCTTCACTATCATGCAGTTTAAAACTCTGTATTTTATAACAAATGCTTTGCAGCAAATCCTTCCTACCAAACAAGATAAGAAAGCTATTGGCTGCATTATCACTATACAGGAGCTATGCATACCACAGTTAATTTATGCACAAATATCTCAATGAATCGGGCTTCTTGCATACTGTTTTACTCAGTACATAAGCACACATAAATCCTTTCCCCACTGGCTCCCAAAGACAACATTATACTCTTCTTGACAAAGCAACTCAAGGCTATTCTTCAAGTCTTCACTAGTGTGACCACTGGATGGGACAGAGCTTTATTACAGTATGAATGAACTATCCTGACTGGATATCTAAGCAAAGATATCATAGGTTGAGCAGCATTGCCCTACATTGCTGGTGCAAACCAGCAGCAGGTAACAATCATGAACATGGCTTGTACTACAGCGTTCCAAGAGAGCCTTTTAAGCAAAAATACCTACACTGATGCAAGAAAAAATTATTATGATTAATGTACCTGCAGCACCACAAAGTAATCTTTAAGAAAATATCTACTTATATTTTGTTGACTTAATGAACATTAATTTAAGCCGACCCCACCTGTGTTTCATACACGATAACATTGAAATGCTCATCTGAAACTATGAACTTTGCCTGAGGTCTAGAATACACAATAGCTCTACTCTAATTGACTGTAGGATTACTTCAGTATTTTCAGAGGGATAGAGGTGTCTTTGATGGCCACAATAACTCCACCATGGTCCAGGTACAAGATGTGGTGCTCTTCTTCAAAGACCTACATGTCAAACAAAAAAAAAAGCCAGCTAAGCAAATGTACAGAACAGCAGGAATAAAATGCATGAACAAACCAGGATTAAAAGACTTATATATTTTATAATGTCCGCACTTCAAACTGAAAAGGACATAAAAGTCAGTTTAACTCTTATGTTTCTCCCAGCTGTAAAAAAGGTAAGCAGGTGAATCAGAAAATGTTCAGGTCCAAATCACAGTCAGATTAAACTGTCTAAAGTGATTTTAGCCCAAGCATATATTTCTCACAGTATGCATTCTGCATTCCTTCCTATTATATAGCACCAAGTGACCTATCAGTTTACTTTGGTATTTGCCATATTCTATGTATCTTGCAGAATAAAATGCTTTGCAGTCTAACTCTAAGAAAAATAGGCAAAGCACGGCTGTCCGTGACTTTCTCACATGTTCTCCAGACTTTATGGAACTTCAAATACTTGGTGCAAGAATATTTTTTGCATTTCCAGTGTCAGTGATTTGTTTAAATTAAAACTTTATGTGATTGCACACAGAGGCTGCTCTGAGTTCTGAACCTAAATACATGTAATATTAATTTAATAGTATGAAAGATTTGAATTTCCTGAATTATTTTCAGTCACTTCTGGAGGTTATCGGCAGTACTAAAAGATGTGAACAGGTAGATATCTTCCTTTTTTTTTTTTACATGTGAGATCAGTTTCAAGACAGGGCTTACTTATTAATATGTGAAAGTTCATTTAACAGCAGGTGATAAAGTGAGAGTTACTACATACACTTATCAGTTAATAGGTGAACACATAGACTCATACACGCTTTGACTAAGCAAAGGTGAAAACCACAAATGTTAGCTTTCTTTTGCCTTGTGAATGAAAAAATACTAACAGTACTAAATGCTTCTTTTTTTTAGCAATACTAAATGCTGCATTTAAAAGACTGAACTGGAGGGAGGGGGAAGTATCTTACATCACATTCACAAATACTTCAAAATAGTAAGCATTTAATTTGAGTTGAGAATTCAATCTTCCTCTCATCTAATATGAGTGTATTTTATGGGGATCCTGGGGCTTCAAGTGTCTGATCAGTTTTTCAATGTTGCCATTTTACAGGCAAAACCCTGATATGAAGCATTTACAGTCCTATCTACTTGTTCCACACAGCTGCATATTTCAGAAGAGAATTCAGTAAAGGACAGACATTAATTTTAGATGCACTTCAAAAGGATGAGATCAGCTGGAGTCAGATAAGCAAGTAGAGTTTTGATCCTCCTCTAAACTCTGTTTGAACTTTTGCTCAAATCAAAATGAAACAGACACGAAGTCTCCACATGCCTCACCATCATACGGAAGATAAAGGAAGCTGGTATTTGCATCGCTTCAGTCAAATTAGGTTTTCCCAGAAAAGCACCGTGGCACTTCCTCATGTACCATTTTAGAGCCCCAGCTTTAGCTCACTATAAAGCACAGCTGACACATTACAGGCATATTAATGCCATCTTTATATCATGCTCTTCTTGCAAACATTTCAAACATTTTATACCCAAAATGTATGAAATTCCTCATGAAAGCCACTTTTCATCTTCAGTACATTGAAAATAATTAACTATTTCATGCACAAAAGTAAATATATATCTCTACTTTCCAGAAACAAAACCACAACAAACAGTTTGCAAGGGATTCAGGCAGATGTGATCCCAGTGTCAGAGCTGAAGTTCAAACCCAGGAATATGAGATATGTGGTCTCACAGTCAGCCACAAATTCTGATAAATGTCTCTCCCCTAACTAAAGTCAGGTAATAAATTTATTATGATCCTTACTAATAGCCAGGCACTACAGAACTAGATTTTTATAACATATTTCTATGGGGTTATTTCTGTGATTTTTCAAGCATGGTATGTGCTTTATAACCATGATGTCAACTTCTTTTCTCTCCCTCTCTTCCCTCTCCACTCTCTGCTCTAAACGTTTTTTTCCTGTGTCTGTACTAAGAGCTTCAGCAGCTATTTCAGGCCAGAATATCTGTTGGGAGCAATTAGGAGAATTCCACTAAATCAATGAAAACACATTTAAATGATGCTAGAGAAATACACGCTACACAATTTTACTCTGAGATACAGAACCTTTAAAAGTAACCAAAAATTCCCAAAGTCACTTGCTCCTCTCACAAAGTGATATCCAATTCTAAATTCAAATCTGGAAGCAGTTTTTCTACACAGAATTAACCAATTGGACCTCCCCATAGTAAGAGTTTTTTAAGTTCTTTTTAAGTTCTGGTGTCCTCAACATAAAAAGGACATGGAACTGTTGAAACAAGTCCAGAGAAGGGCCACGAGGATGATCAGGGGACTGGAGCACCTCCCGTATGAAGACAGGCTGAGGAAGTTGGGGCTGTTCAGCCTGGAGAAGAGAAGGCTGCGTGGAGACCTCCTAGCAGCCTTCCAGTATCTGAAGGGGGGCTATAGGGATGCTGGAGAGGGACTCTTCATTATGGATTGTAGTGACAGGACAGGGGGTAATGGGTTAAAACTTAAACAGGGGAAGTTTAGGCTGGGTATAAGGAAGAAGTTCTTTACTCTGAGGGTGGTGAGGCACTGGAATGGGTTGCCCAGGGAGGTTGTGAATGCTCCATCCCTGGCAGTGTTCAAGACCGGGTTGGACGAGGCCTTGGGTGATATGATGTAGCGTAAGGTGTCCCTGCCCACGTCAGGGGGGTTGGAACTAGATGATCTTAAGGTCCTTTCCAACCCTAACGATTCTAGGATTCTATGATTCTAAGCGACTGGGACTATAGCCTTTCCAGGTGTGTGTAAAGATGTTGCGAACCATCTCTTAAGATATCTGCAGAAAGATAAGTATTCCTGCCTAAACAAATATTTTCCAAACTGCTCTGATACAAAATGATTTGACATAGAGAAATAATATTCCAACAAACAAAACACTGGACTAAAGCACCAGAGATCTAGATTCAGTTCCTAGACATACAACAGAGCTTCTGTGTAACCATATTAGCTTAATTGATCATTCTGCTGCTATACTAACTACTCTGGGGGCAGATCACATATGAAAGGGTTTTTCTTGATGATGTTCTCCTTTTATTCAACCCATCTCTTTTGAAAGCCAGACCTTTCTCTTTCCTAGGCTACTTCTTTGCGGTTCATTTGGCATTGCTAGGTTAAAGGCTGGACTTTATGATCTTAAAATGTCTTTTCCAACCTAGATGATTCTAAGCCCACATAGTTCATGATAATGTAAAGGTGAGATTCCCTTCTCCTATCCATACAGCAGCCAGATCACAGCTGCTGCATGGACATTTAAGTTACTTGTCAATCAGCTCCTAAATTGCTGCTATTTACAGTGCAATGTTGTACAAAACACAGGCAAAAATTTCAGTTTTCCTTAAAATGGCATGCAGTGGAGCAATGGTTCCAAGAGATACTAACAAGCGCCTCAGGCATCATGTAACAGAAGGGCAGAAGAACTGGAGCTAGCCCAAGTTGGATTACGGCTACTTATAATCATGATCCTTGTTTTCACTTTTTGTGTGAGCCAGCACAGGCAGTAACCACAAAACCATGGATGAGAAGCAAAGAGTAAACCTGTCTTTGTTACCTCACCAACTGGGGCAACCCCTGAAGCAGCACCCAGACAGAAGCACAGAAGCAGGGATGCAGGCACTGCGTTGCTTGGTCCATGCTAGAGGATCACTGTACCTACTGTTTTCACTTGACTTTCAGGAATTCATGCAGGTGTAATTTACCACTGTGCTTTGATCTTTCCCACAGCTACACAGGAATCTCAAGCATGTTTGGTAGGGTGCCTCTCAGTCTATCACAAGCCTATGTTATCTAAACACAGATGTTCTACTTGCCCAACACACAAGGCCAAACTACAATTAGTATGATATATATGTTTTTTGACACCCCAGCTGCAAGTCACTTAAGCACATTTACGATCCTCCTTGCCGATCTTCCATTATTTTCCCACACTTTTCCATTTATCACCATTATTTACTTAATTTCACAAAACTCTCATTTTGGCATTCTTTTATTTCTAGACCGCAAACACTATCTGTATATCCTACCCTAGTTAAGTCTTCCTGAACTCTCATATGACCTTACCATATGAAATTATGGAAGGAAAATGATCAGTAGATCATTGTTAAATTGAGAATATATTACAAATTCAGGAACTCAGGGACTAGTCCCAGTAATGAATCACAATCTTAGTCAACAATGTGATGCTAGTGCACGGAGGAGAAATCTGAAATGCGGTGCCTATAACGGGCTTGAGCATCTCCTGTATGAAGACAGGCTGAGGAAGTTGGGGCTGTTCAGCCTGGAGAAGAGAAGGCTGCGTGGAGACCTCATAGCAGCCTTCCAGTATCTGAAGGGGGGCTATAGGGATGCTGGAGAGGGACTCTTCACTAGGGACTGTAGTGATAGGGCAAGGGGTAACGGGTTAAAACTTAAACAGGGGAAGTTTAGATTGGATATAAGGAAGAAGTTCTTTACTGTGAGGGTGGTGAGGCACTGGAGTGGGCTGCCCAGGGAATTTGTAAATGCTCCATCCCTGGCGATGTTCAAGGCCAGGTTGGACAAGGCCTTGGGTGGCATGGTTTAGTGTGAGGTGTCCCTGCCCATGGCAGGGGGGGGTGGAACTAGATGATCTTAAGGTCCTTTCCAACCCTAACGATTCTATGATTCTAGGATTCTATGATCAAGGGCAGTCATTTCATTATGGTTAGCACTGATAAAATTTGTAATTCTGCTTCCAGTTTTACCATGCTTCAGGAGAGGGACGTCATATTAGGCAGTCCAGTCAATGAGCAACAAAAAGGAAAAGCACTTTTAGAAATGTTAAACATTAGGAAAAATCAGGAGATTTGAGCTTGTTCCTTTTCCAAGAGGTTTTCGAAAACCCCTATACTCTGTGTAGACATGATAATCACCTTTCAACATCTGAAAAGTTATTCAAAGGTGACAGAAACCACTCTGCTCTAAAGACAAGAAGAAATCAACTTATCTTTCAGAACTGGTGAAGCTGCAAGAACAACAGCAAAGAGCACAGGCATCTTATGTTAAATATTCTGAAAAAACGTATGCAGAATGGTGAAACACCATATAGCCAGACTGCAGAATCTGCTACAGTGAAGGATTAATAGGTCTGGCAAACCTCTGTTAGAGATGTTCCTAGTATGTTTTATGTTTTCTCAGAGGACATGGTTGAATCATAAGATCTTTATCCTTCCTCCCAGTCCTCTATTCCTATGAACCAGTGCTGCTCTTATTTCAGGTAAGCTTTTAACTAATTCACTGAACTGCCTTTTCTTGAAAGTCTTTTGTCTTGAAAGACTTAATTTTCTGCATTGCTCTGTCACTCTATGCAAGAACAGACTACCCTTTTCCAGTCTGTAGACAGCTCTGCAACATCATGTGTGGCATGTGAGAAAGGTGACAGGCACTCACTAATGACAACTGCACTTTCCAAGTCAGTGACTTAAACAAACCCAAAGACTTGTGCCAAAACATGAGCTTTTCTCTGCTTTTGCCAGCTCATGAGACCTGTAATTTACTGTCTAAATAATTCCTATATCATCAACCTTGTCTTTTGTTACATGAACTCCAACAGAGAAAAGAAATGCACTGCTATCCTCTGGAAGAACTGTTTGATCATGAACAGCAAGTCTATAAAATACATATAATAATCTACATTTTCATTCTGATCACAAATATTAAGATTGGTTAAAAGGCTTCATAGCAGTTTTAATTAAAATAAAGCTAGCAATGGTGTTTTTCATTTTACTGTCATAATGAGGGATCAGCTTATTGTTTTACAGCATGAATAGTCATCTTAAGGTCAAGTTTCATCACCTATCATTTGCCTGAGCTTCTCACAAATAAAAAGCAGCAAGAGTACGAATCTGATCCCTTTCACTCTATTATCCTTATTTTTCACCCCAGAAAACCTACAGAACTTTGGCAAACAGTGACAATAAATTACTAGAGAGGCCTTTGTGAAGTATTAGACAACACAGTACCCACTGTAAATCCTGGAAGGCTTTTTCATTTAAACACCTATGTATCATATGCTAGATTTGAAGAAGGAATTTGGCATAAAATTTTATCTTTTAAGCCGCAAAGGACATTCTCATGACAAAAATAATGTATTTCTTTCAGAAAGTCTTTCTGTGCAGCCTACATTAGCAATATAAGAAACTGTCTGCATTTTCCTCTTTTAACCGCAAACTCCTCAAGCTCAGTAACTCTAGTAGGAACATTTTCACACTTACTTGTCCTCAGAAAGTAACACACCTTAATCTTATTTCAGCTGAACAGTAAACCACTACTTTAACTGAAATGAAATGACCTTTTAACACACTTTGAGGGTGTTTTGTTTTTTTTCTTTCTCCTGGATATGCACTGTAAGTAGACTCCAGATCATATTGTGCATTATTACTATATACACAAAGAAAGAAAATATCCCCATGATTAAGCACTGCTGAGTGTACTGGATTTGCATGGATTGGCGCTGCAGGGATGGCTTCTGCGAGAAGCTGCTAGAAGCTTCCCCTATGTCCAATAAAGCCAATGCAGCTGGCTCCAAGATGGACTCACCACTGGCCAAAGCCAGGCCCCTCAGTCACAGTGGTGGCATCTCTGGGATAATGTATTTAAGAAGGGGAAAAGTCACTGCACAGGAGCAGTTGCAGCCACAGAGAGGAGTGAGAATGTGTGGGAAACAGCCTTGCAGACACCAAGGTCAGTGCAGAAGCAGGGGAGCAGATGCTCCAGGTACCAGAGCAGAGATTCTCTGCAGCCCGTGATGCAGCCTACGGTGAGGCAGGCTGCGCCCCTGCAGCTCATGGAGGTCCATGGTGGAGCAGGTCTCCACTTGCAGCCCATGGAGGACCCCACACCACAGCAGGGAGATGCCCAAAGGAGGCTGTGACCTCGTGGGAAGCCCGTGCTGGAGCAGGCTCCTGGCAGAACCTGTGCCCACATGGAGAGAGCAGCCTGAACTGGAGCAGGTTTACTGCAGGACTGGTGACCCCGTGGGGGACCCACACTGGAGCTGTCTGCTCCTGAAGGACTGCACCCCATGGAAGGGACCCATTGGAGCAGTTCATGAAGAACTGCAGCCTGTGGGAAGGGTTCATGCTGGAGAGGTTCATGAAGGACTGTCTGCTGTGGGAGGGCCCGCACGGTGGAGCAGGGGAAGAGTGTGAGGAATCCTTCCCTGAGGAGGAAGGAGCAGCAGAGACATCGTGGGATGAACTGCCCACAACCCACGCTGGGGGGAGGAGGTAGAGAAAATCAGGAGTGAATTTGCACCCGAGAAGAAGGGAGGGGTGGGAGGAAGGTATTTTAAGATTTTATTGTATTTCCCAGTATCCTACTCTGATTTGACTGGTAATAAATTAATTCCCCCAAGTTGAGTCTATTTTGCCCATAACAGTAACTGGTGAATGATTTCTCCCTCTCCTCCTTAACCCATGAGCCTTTCACTGTATTTCCTCCCCACTGTCCAATTGAGGAGTGATAGAGCGGCTTTGCTGGGCACCCAGCTTCCAGCCAGGGTTGATCCACCACACTGAGATAGAGCAATTGAGTCAAAAGTACATAATAAAGGTGCAAGGCTTAAATTGACACTAGACATTGGAAGCAAAGGACATCCAGAATTCAAACGGCATTACAGTCATGTAGTATGACTTCTATTTTTCATACTTTGGCAGTTGTAGTTCCAGAATTGTTTAAATCATACTAAAAGATATTCAAAGGCTTTTGGGTTGGTTTTTTTAATTTTTTTTTTTTATTTATTTTTTTAAATCTTTTTTCATTTTCTGAGTTTCATTGAAGAGCAAAGTTTAAGCTTAAACACCAGTTTACATACTTTATACCTAAACCGTGCCTTTTAGCTTGGAATATTTTTACTGCAAGACTTAGCCCAAGTCCACTTCATTATTAGCATAAGATTACTTACGTTATTAAAAACCTAAGCAGACTTTATTTATTTTTTTTAGGTAAAAGATCTTTAAAGAGACCAAAATATTTGAATTTCAGCAGAACCTGCAGCCCAACCAATTTGAGTCTTTGCAAATCATCTTCTTAATCTCTCCCAGGTTCCAAGCAAAATGGGGATAATAATAGTCACCTTCCTCAAAAGAATGAGTATATACGCATTAAGTAAGCATTACAAAATTCATCACATTTGGTACATTACAATTACTTCCAGGTGTCTTTGATGGTTTCTGTTTCCTACCTGACGCCACGTGTTCCCGCAGTCAGACGTTATGTACATTTCTTCTTTATACTCAACCAGCTGGGAGCCCAGGTTACCTGTCACAAAACAGGAGGAAAGAAGAGTTGTATCCACAAGAGCAAGAGAGACTGGAGCGAGAAGATTCCAGGTCAGAGCAAGAACTAAACTCAGATGATCAGCAGGCTTACATAATTTCTGGTAGCACTAGATACAGCCTTTTAAAAATATAGGTACATTTTTAACTTATTTTACAGGCTTAATTCTAATGCTGAAACACAAAGGCCAAAGCGAGACTTTAGCTGTGCTGCTGCACACTGAAAAATTATGTTGAAGGAACATGTATTTAAGATGCATGTCTGAAACATCCACAAATGCAGAAGCCATGCCTGAACCTTAATCGCATTCTGTAAAATTATTAAACTTGAACTTCAATTGTTAAAATAAAGAATATTTTATCTGCAAGTGGTAGCAAAGGGGTAGCAAAATCTACAATCTGGAGAAATAACACTGAAAAGAGGGCCTGGGGAGGGGTTAAATAAGTATGTAAATGTAAAAGAATATAAAGGAGAATTACTTGATTTACCTAAATATTAACAGGAAGCTAGTGAATATTTTGATAAAAAGCACTGAGGAGCAGCAGATTGCTGCAAAGCAAACAGAAGTGTTAAAACAAACCTGTGGAAGCTGATTTTAGTAGGTGCAACCCCAAACTGAGATCCACCTGAGACCTCCATCTTTTAACAAGTGGTATTTCAAACAGCAAACTATTAAACCACCAGGTAGTGTACAGTGTTCTAGGGGAGAAGCAATCATAGCACAATATTCCTTGTAAATGATACCCTCCAGGGGATTTTGACTTAAATATATGGTTTGCATGTTTATACAGTAGAAATAAGATAAAAGATCAGATCCTCTTAAGCAGAAGCGACAAGGAAAGAAAACCACTTGAGATTAGGATAGCAATATGAAATTTCACTGCTGTGTTACATAAATAGCTGGTTTCAACCACCAAAACAGATCTGCTTGTTCAGGGTGTACTCACTAGTGCTGAAAGGTTCATGAGGAAAATGACAGTGACACGGCCCAAAATACATGCTCTATTTGGACCATCCAGATTGCATGTGCTCTACTGTTTAATGGTATAACTCTACATTTTTTAACCCTAAATATAGCCTAGACAGGATTAGGATATTTATTTTGAATGATGCAACTAACAGGAGTCAGTTTGTTTCTTTCAGCTATACCTAACATTTCAGAAGATGCCACTGCCCCTTACTGGGTCTTCAACTTTCAGAACACTTCATGCTCCCTCATTTATCAAATAATTTAGCTATTATTTTGCTATTCTTACTTCCCTCTCTACAACCTTTACTGGTATAGGTTTCTCCAGTTACTCATAGAACTTTTTCTTTGGGCTAAGAACAGGAATACATATTTGCTTGTTAGAATATGAAGTATTGCTCTCAGTCAACACCCTTCTTTATACAGATACCTTTCAGGAAGGCATAGTTAGTTCTGCTCCTGGATAAATGCTGTTTATTCTACCTCTTTTCACCGCTTACTGAAATCTACTTGCATGAAAAGGCCTTTATTCTGAGAATTGTTATGGATTTGTACTTTTAAAAGTGCAGTGGTAAATTGCCATAGCTAATGGAGGACTGGTCTCAAAACTAAACAGCATCAACTTGTACTTCATTAGAAAGCCTATTATATCCAGTTGATATGGTAATGACTAAAAGATATTAGCAACAGGCTTATAATTGCAGCTCTGTAACAAGGCAGACATGACTTCTAGTTTTGGTTTTACCTTTATTGCCTTTTCTTGGCAAGTCAGCAAAAGGAGTTGGTGGACTCAGTTATAACTACAGAGAAATGCCATTCTTTCCAAAAAAACAGAACTGAAAAACTTGGCACAAAGGCTGGTGTACTGCCTTGGGGAAAAGTACCTGGCTTTTGAAAGTAGTCCATCCCCAAGTGAAGGATGAAAACCCAGAAGGGGTGCATGGAGGATCTTCTGCTTGCTGACAGTGTTCCATGCCTTAATATAGGCTATAATTTCCATTACCAGATTCTGAAGGAGACCCTATTATATTACATAGTTTTACAAACTTTATGAAAACGGCTTCAAGCACATAAGAAACCCCTTTCTGTGTGAGAGAATAAAACCTTTCAAGTTGCAGTTTGCTATGAGGGTACTACAGACAACATCTTGCTGAAAAAAGAGCATCGGTGGATTGAAAATAAAAAAGCAGGTGAGGCAGCGAGAAGGAAATCTGTACCACCAAAGGAGACAGGTAGGTTCCTGCAAAGGACAGAGGCTAGTTGCAGTGGGAAGCAACCACACAGCCAAATCTCAAGAGGTAACAGGCAGACTGAGATTTCCATAGGAACACATAGGGCTGTATGACTAAGTTTGTTAAGCCAAGGATATTTGTAAAATCAGTTACACTGAAAAAGTAGAACCAGAATAAAAATAAGCCTTCAAAGAACTTAACAGACTCATCACAGTTTTATTTGCAAACCTTCCTATTCAACATGTGTCACACAAGAGTTATGAGGTTTTTTCTGTTTAAAGAGTTATATTGTTTATACTTTATATTTTATTTTCTAATAAAAATAACTTCAAAGATTTGGGACATTCTGTTCTTTTTGAGATTTAAAACAAAGCATGTAACTTTAGCCTCTAGCTACCTTGCAGTGTGTCATGTTACTGGATTAAGCCAACTAGCTAAACAGAGCACATGTAATAGCACACCATAAACCCCTTTACAACAGCTCCAATTCACATCAAATGAAATGCAAACAATCCTGACATTATTAACATTGCAAACAACTGCAAAGTCACAGAAGCACTCAGAGCTGAGACAGCCTGAAAGTTTCTGTGCCCTAACTGAGAATTATGAACCATACTTGTGGTCAGTGTGGCAGCCAACACATGCATAACTGACACCATTATCAACTGATACAGAAAGTGAGAAACAGCTAAATTATGCTCAATCCCAAACCTAGAAGCCAACATTTACGGTGTGCAAGTACCATTCCCAGCATGTGCTGAAGTGCTCGAACTGTACTGCACACCCACAAACATCAGTGTGCTCTTTGCCTGGTGAATCACACCAAAATCTGTGCTTCTTATTACAGCTGTAAAGATCTGCTATAACTCCTCAGGTGTGCCACTACAACATGGAAACTTTTCTATCACTTTAGTGGGTCTGTGTTAGATCTCAGAATCCATCTGCTGTAAGAAGTAAAGGCAACCTAATACACTGAAAGCAATCCAAATTCAGCCTGAAAATGTTACTGCATCTGGAATGGGTAATCAACTGCAGGCTTGTGCTGGTTTTGGCTGGGGTAAAGATAATTTTCTTCATAGTAGCTAATAGGGACTAAGTTTGGGGTTTGTGCTGGAAAGAGTGTGGATAACTCAGGGATGTTTTCATTACTGCTGAGCAGTGCTTACACAGAGCCAAGGCCTTTTCTGTTCTTCACACACCTCCCCAGAGAGCAGGCTGGGGGTGCACAAGAAGCTGGGAGGGGAGACAGCTAGGACAGCTGAGCCCAACTGACCAAAGGGATATCCCATACCATATGGTGTCATGCTCAGCTTATAAAGCTGGGGAGGAAATTGACAGGCGGGGGGGGGCACTGCTGGGAGACTGAATGGGCGGTGGTTGCTTGGTGTTGAGCAATTGTTTTCATTTGCATCACTTGTCATTCCTAGGTTTTATTTGTCTCTGTTATTTTCCTTTTAATTACATTTGTTATTATTATTGCTTTATTTCAATTATTAAACTGTTCTTATTTCAACCCACAGTTTTCTCACTTTTACCCTTCCCCACACCCCACTGCAGGGGGAAGTGAGTGATGCTGTGTGATGCTTAGTTGACGGCTGGGGTTAAACCATGACAAGGCTGCATTAGCCAAAACTATAAATGGTATCATTTTCACATCACTTTTGATCTAAATGGCCTGAAACTCCTCCAACACATGACGCAGTCTCTTGCTATCTAGTTTCAAGAAGTTTTGTTTGTAATACAGAAGCTTCTCAGGTTTGCCTTATGTTATTTTATAATCTTTTGTAGCTAAATGAGAGGAACAGGAGAGAAGACCCTTCAATTGCTGCGTGTGCTTCAGCTTTGCTTTGTCATCCAATTTTAACTATTTTGTTGTTAAAGGCATTGTTAGAGGTTCATACCTTGTACGGTATAAAAGGATGGCATTATTTGCAAACACCACATGTATATGAAATAAGGGAAGGCCACAGACTGTCTGCAGTTGAGGTCTGGTGGCATGACCCCATCGTGTTCGCAATACATAGCACTCAGCCCCAGCTCTCCTCAGGTAGTGCTGCCATGGCCATAAGATGTATTTTTGTGAGGCTCCTCCCAAATCCCCAGTTCAAATTATCTGATATGAGAGTTATGTTATAGGTCATGAAAATGGCGTTTTCATGTCATGAAACTGAGGATGCATGCAGCATGCCCCTGGTCATGACGGATGTGTCTGAGGGTAGAAGGCCAAGGTATGATACTTTAGTTGAGCTGCATAGGGTAGAAGAAGTAAACCTGGTGCTGCCTACAGTCTCACATGTGCCTTCTCCCAAAGCATGACCTGGAGAATCATGAATTATTCTTAAACACTTCCCCTAAAGGCTTTTGTCATAAACAAAGCCAGGACACTCTGCTAGATGGATTCCTGGCCTGAGCCAATCTGACTCTGCATGTTACATTCTGACACCTTCTTTCTTCAATTTAAGAAACAAAAGGAAACATTTTGGCCTGCACTTTGGACTTCTTGATTAAGCACAGTCATTTTTCATTTCTGTTGCTTACATTCTTATAAACCTTTTCCAACCATGCTCTAGGATATATAAAATGCTCTTTTGCTTTTTTTACTTGTCCTGAATAAAGGCTAATTTCAAAGTAACTGGGTAAAATCCCACGTTCCATCCCTGCAAATGTAGCAGTCCCAAAAACTGGAATACTGGGGTACTAATTATTGTTCAACATATTTCTTCCAAGTTACCTGCAACTTTGCACATGCCATCTTAGCAGTTGGTAGCACAGGGATGGGAAAGAAAGCAATGTATTTGGTAACAACTGGTGGCCAGCCAAGCCCTCTTGAAAGGTGGTGCAGCTGTGAAAAACACATACAGATCTCAAGAGCAATTAAAAGATTGTCTTTGCTCAGGCATTTTGGGTGCACACAAATATGGGAGATTAATTTACAATTGATTATTAATTTACATGTTTTAAGCACTACTTATCATTGCATTTACCCATGTTTTTATACATGATTTTAGATATGCTTACTGTGAGAAGAAACAATCCCCGTATGCAACACTTCGATGATCGATAGTCCTTCTAATACGGAAAATCTTTTCCAGCCACTTAAATTTAGCATACAAGCAGAAATCTACTCCAAAGACAGAGATCTGCCTTGGCTAGATTACTCTTAATTAATGCAGTCATAACACCCCTTCAGTCAATGCACAATAAGCTAAAATTTCATGATCTGTAAACTTGTAGTCACAGTGTAGAACAAACATACAACCAATTTGCGTTTAAATGTCCCAGGATAGACATTTTTTGCCTGGCAAGCTGAAGATGTGATTCACACCATCAGAATGGGGGAACATGCTGACATGAGAAAAACCTAAGGGAACTGCAGGATCTTCACTCCAGAATGCACTAGGAAATCATCTCCCTGATCCCTCACCCTTTTAACAGTGGCATCCTGGAATGTTACTTTTGTGAAAAATCATAGAAATTTATCACAATGTATTTCAGCCTGATATAACAAAAAAGAAACTGAACTTTCCCAGCACTCCCTCAATTTGTGTGAGTGTGCAGAATTTACTGCTTGCTTGATTTGCCATCTGGATTGGAAGCTAAGCAGACAATTATTGTAAACTAGCACCTGAAAAATCTACACTTCTCTAAGTATTTTGCATAGAAAGTCCTTCACAAGTTTATAGTAAAAATTTGCACATCAATTGACACACATTTCATAGCTGACGCTGTGAGAAATAGAAGCTGTTGCCAAGATTAAAATGTACAAAAATCAAATATAAATGCAAAATCCTATTACATTTCTTAAAGGGAGCAAAACAGTTATTTAAAAGAGCACTTTAATATGCAGCTATAAAATTTAATATTCTGTCTGCACAATTTATATATACATAAGCTAAAAATATGCATTCCTTGGAACTATTTATGCAACTTTAATAGAGTGGAAATTTTATTTGTAAACATGAGTTTTAAAAGATGCAATGTTAAAATTCTATTATTGCATTTTTCTCATATCCTCTAGGCATTCATGCTGTGACCCATTTAACTATTTTTTAAATTAAAACAATACTCAGTAGTCTCTGTGATTCGATTTTCAAGCACAGCATCAAAACTGTCCTCAAGTCACAGGCCAGGTTTTCCATTACCACGAGCAGCTGTGTTGCGTAAGCTTCCTATAAAGTGGCTAAACTCCATGTCCAAGAGTTGTTTGTTTGCTTGGGTGGGAGGGGTTTCTGCTTTTTGACTGATAGCCACAGTGCTTTCATTGAGAGGATGAACTTCATGGCTCTTATGTTTAGAAACTGATTTCTAGTTTCTAGTTCTTTTCCACTTGTTTACATCACTTATTTCTATCTCATGGTTACACTTTCAAGTTAAAAAAAAAATCACATTCTGTATTGTCCTTTACTATTCTCAGTTAATGGGGTTCCTCTTATAAATATTTGTTATTTCCATTAACTTCCAAGTAGTCCTTCTTAGCACCTACTCACTGGTCCTGAAAATTGATGATCAGAATTGTACATGTTCCTATTAATACGATTGCTGTACAGTATTTTGCCAGAGTTTATTTCCCTCTCTCTGTTGGCAAATATGTAGTTCACCCTCAGAATGCATATTTCTGTTTTTCATAGCACAAGGCTCTGATGGCTCCTAGACATAGTGTGATCAAACGACATTCACCAATCTTTGTCATCTTGTCATTTCAAGATGTGCTCTCCCTAAATATAACAGTAAAATTCCAGCAGTGTGTGATGTGGCCCAAATAATCTGATTTCTTTTTGGGTAAAGAACCTAGTATGTCTGTTGATTTGCATAGCATTATCAGTTTCAAGGAGCAGGCCAGAAGAAATTGAAGCTCACTGTATGTAAAGTATACCTGATAAGATGTGTAAGTTTACAAGGATATCAGGTTTGCCAGATAAGACTGAACATATACACTGAATCCAGATCACCCGAGCATCCAAATAATGTAAACTAAGTCAAAATCAGAGTTGATTCAGGTCATCTGCTGGCAAGGAGATGCAACTGCTCTTCAATATGTTCAAGAGTCCAAAGTAAGTCCCTTGGCTGTGTTTGCAACCATATGACCTTCTACCAGAGAAAGGACGTACTGAACTAATCTCGGGCAAGCTTTTCCCACTTTAATGCCAACCCTACCAGATTTTTAGCAACCTAGGAGTGAGGGTGCCTTTCTTTCACATCCATTACATTATAGGATGCTCCACAATCAAGTCAGATTTAAAATACAGTTCAGTTTTTAGTGATATCTAGATTTCATCAGAAAGACTCCCTCATGTTCATGTTGAGGAAACCAGTCAACAAGTTTATGCACTTGGCATGGTATGAATATGTCACAGTGATAAAATCTAACCCCATTATAGGCAGGAATTGAGGGAAAAATACTCTTCTCCAACCTGCCATTCCTAATATAGTCTCACAGAACAGTATGCTTAAAAAACCTCCACAAAACTCCACACCAAAGGAAAATAACCCAACATCTCAATGAATATCAATTCACCACTGATAGCAGATTATAATGCAAAGAGAGAGAAAAATGAAATAGAAGTAATGGACTAATTAATTAAACCTCACTGCTTAATTTGCTACTAGAAGACATTCTGATACAATATGATTAGGCCAAAATTAAGAACCTACATTAGGAGTAAATTTATGTAATAAGAACAATCCCAAGATTGGAGTAATTTTTTTAATACTGAAATTCATAAATTAAATACCTAATAGAAATGTATCTACAAGGGCATTGCATAAATTCTTAGTCTTGTTCATGTCAATAAAAACATAGCAGCTTTTCACTAGGGAGGTCTGCCTCCAGTAAAATACTTTAAGCTACACATAAACTAGGGGGAAGCCTGAAATCTTCAGTCATATTGAAGTAATGGCAGCTGTCATTCTCTTTAAACATCAAATATACCCACCTTTACATTCTCAGGAAATTTTCAATTTAGTAAGCCATTTATAAGAGACTAGTGTAAGGTAAGGCAGAAACCATTATTGATTAAAAACAGATATATTTTTATGGAAACAGAAGCAGTACATGGTGTGTACTTCACCTAAACATAATCCATCACATAAGAATAAAATACTGCAATTTTAAAAAGGCTCTTAGAACAGTTAAGATTTCAATAATTTTGAAACGAAACAGAAAATTAAATGAATAGCTGAATCACAAGGGTACACAGTAAAAAAGAGTTATGTGAATATTTTTCTTGATGAGTAGTCAACACTGCAGTGGAATTTCTTTTATTAAATGCCACTTCACAGTACCATGGCTTCATCCATATGTATGTTATAATGGAGACGCCACAACCAGCATTGCTCCTAACAGAGACACGTTTGCCTCTTTTATGTCATCTCTCTTTCGCCAGAAAGGAATTAATAAAAATTATAAGACAAATTATCTGTATCTAGGCTTAAATTAAAAAGGCCTGACCACCATTAAATCAGTTTATTGGATTTGCTGGGCTATTCATGCTGCTGGAGGCCCTGCTTCCAGAGGAAAAAAAAACCCTGCAATGCACACAAAGTCCTTCCGCCACCATTACTACTACTTACCACCACTAGTGGGGAAGGAGATACTACACAGCAGAGAAGCATAATGTATCCAGATGACTGTTACAGATTTGTCATAGAAGACATAGTTCTCAGACTTCAATCAACTTTTATTATATTGTTTGATTAAGAGATAGAGTCATAGAATGGCTTGGCTCGGAAGGGACCTTGAGATCACGTTTTGCCAATCCCTCTGCAACAGGCAGGGACACCTCTGACTAGACTAGGTTGGTCAAAGCCCCATCCAACCTGGCAATGAACACTTCCAGGCATGAAGCCTTCACAGCTTCCTTGGACAACCTGTTCCAGTGCCTCACCATCCTCATAGTAAAGAACGTCTTCCTTATATCCAAACTACATCTCCCAGTTAAGTATGAACCCATTGCCCCTTGTCCTGTCACTGCAGTCCCTAATGAAGAGTCCCTCTCTGGCATCCTTGGAGGCCCCCTTCAGATACTGGAAGATCCCATGAAGATTCCATACAGGATTATTCTGCAGGGAAAGCCTTATTTCAGCAATGTTTATAGCAAGGTACTGTTATAAGCCAAAAGACTAGATCTACAAAGAACCACTGCTACATCTCAGATCGTTAAAAATAATGTCTTGCATTTACCTGCCCCCATTATGAGCCCTGGTGCAGTGTCCTTCGTGTGCACTGTTCCTGATACATAGGGATTATCTGCCCAGCGGAGATGGAGGTGAAGGTAGCAGTCAGGCTTTTGGGGGAAGAAGAAAACAGGTGTTAAAAATGATGTGTAACAATTATGCTCCTACAGTAATGAAAGCCCATTCAGAGAGCAGTTTCAGCAAACTTGTCTTCATAGAGAAAGAGAATAGCTGTTTCCCATCCCAGTCTGAAATATCAGCCTTAGCTTTCTCATGAGAATCTCTGGTGATGTCTGCGTAGTGTGCCACTGTCTCAACAAAAAGATTTCCAAACTCAAATAAGTCAGGATGAAATTATTGTATAAAAACCCCTTCTGACAGAATAATTGCTTAAAAATGTTAACCAACAGCAACAAGCATTGCGTGTTTGTTGGTTCCAGGCAATTGGTAAATGATGATTAAAACCAACTGTTTGTACTGAAATTTTCTTTTTTTCCTAGAAAAAAAGTGGTATGAAAAATAGCATGAAGACTTCTGGACACACCCCATCATCTCTCCCTGTTAAGCAAATTACTGCTTCTTGCTCTTCATGCAGTGGCACTCAAAGGTCATATTGCTCGCAGCAATCTGACCAGGAGTGGGCTGCCAGCACTGCCTGCAAGCTGCTGCCACTGCGATTTTTCCATTCATCTCAGAGCATTCTGGATCAGGCCCTGCAGGCTTGAACCATGTAGCACAGTCCTGAACTCTTCAAAAGGCAGCCAGCAGCTCCAACCATCCACTTCTGCTATGTGCAGGGGGATCAAAGCAGAGCTCTGGCAGTGGCAGGACTAAAAGCATTTATTTCACCCAGCAATGCAGAGCTTGGGAGTCTCCAGGAAGAGAGAATTGGTGAGAAAAAGACAAGGTTTTCACTATAGTCTCACAAATAACAAAATGTTATAGGTAGCTGCACAACTGAAATAAAATCATCTTACAAAAAGACTTTTTCATGCAGTTAACTGTGTTGTTATTTCCAAGCAACTGTCACAAGTTCCCTTTTAGCTGGAGCCAAGGGGTTACCTTAGTTTAAGATGAAACAAAAATATGAAAGAAAGATGAAAAGAGAAAAGGTGTTGGTAAGCTTCTTATATCCAGATGATCTGCCCCTTATTCTCAAGGCACAAATGACTGTTGTCATGATTATTCTGAACTGGGTTGTGTGGTTGAGGCACAAGAAAAAATGTCCTCTTTGTGTCAAAGTGATCTAAAATACAAAATGCAGTGCAACAGAGTCCTGACTACTCACTCTACAAGATGGCTGGGCTAATCACTTGTGAAACCACAGCTTATGCAATGCAAGTAGATTTGCCTGGTATTTTGTAAACAGCACAAAGCTCTCAGACTGTTGGAAGTACTGCACGTATACAAATAATCCTTGTGCACTTTAAAGAAAGGACGGGTAAAAAGAGCCACTTACAGGTTTGCAGTTTGTCGGCTTGCCATTCATATCGATGTCTGGAGGGTTTAGAAAATCCCAGTCACGGCCTTTGTTGTAGGTTATCAGAGTTGTAACTTTCCCATCAATTTTCTGGTTGGCCAAAAAGACTCCTTTTACACCTCTGACCTGAAGCACACGAGAGAGAGAGAGAGAGCGCGAGCTAATGACCGGCACATACACATTTTTTTTTACAAGGATTATCCCTGATTACTGCTCTTTTGTGGCTCTGGACTGTGTACATCAGGTAGGTTCTCCACTCGGAAAGTGAATGGTACCTTAAAAAAAAATAGGACAAAAGGATAAGAGGAAAGTGAGAAAGGGGGAAGAGGAGGAAAATTACTAACTGATTTTTATTTCTATATGGATTTCAAAAGGATACACAGTTCATTCAGTGTCAGAAGGCTGATCAAATTACATGTAGTTTACACGTTTAGCTTCCCTTCACTTGTTTAACCTCTGGGGAAAAAGAAAAAGGTTTACAGTGTCTCTCTTCCCTTGGGCAAACTTAGTTATTTTATTTCAAAACAATCCCATTAGAAAACTATTACAACTAGTTTTCTAATTGTTGCAAGTTGCAGTAATCGCACCTTAGTATGCTTAGCTCTAGCCATAAGAAGTTATTTTGTGTTAAAATTCCACCTAATGGCATGAGATGAGATCTTGGATTAAATCTAAAGGTTTCCTTAAGAGTGCTCTTGTTTCCCTTGCAATTATTTATGAGGCTTCTGGGATTTTTGAGAAATAACTTGACAATGCATATCAACACATACACCACTTCCAACACAGTACAGCTCTCTAACCTGCTAATGTGTTGACATGTAGTCAAACTGATGCATTCATTACAAATAAATGCACAAGACAGCCAGCTCTTTGCATGATCAGAAATACTTGCCTCTTGCTGATGTGATTCATTCCTGTACTTACTTTTTATTTTGTATTTTAAATACTTACCATTCCCTTTTCTTCCAACTACCTGTTATTAACTCCCTTTGACATTCATTTGCAAAAGTTTGCATTTAGGTTGAAGAGAAGGCATCCCTTCCAGCATACTACAGATACAATAACTATTGTTTATAAAGATACCTTTTTTCCTAAGCACCTGACCCAAATCTACAGAGAATAAAAATGTTCTGCTGGTTATGGTAACAGCCTTGAACTTGGAAATATAATGTTAGCTAACTAAGTTCTGTATAGACATTTTAATACCCCACACTCTCATGAGCACTTCCTTCCTTAAACCACATGCATGTGCGGTTGGCTTATTTATCCAGGGTTCAGGAAGCTCAGAATCACCTCCAAGTCAAACACACTATAAAAATCAACTGCTTTGCAGTGCAGGTGAGAAAAGGAAGAGGAGGGAAGAAATGAGGAACTTGCTTTCTTTATTTTCAAAGCATTTTCATCTTGCTAGGGCTTTATTACGTATTGTACCTTCCAGAGATGGCATAGCCATGAATATGACTGAAGAGCTTGGCAGTTCAAACATTTATGTGGGGGTGTAGACTTGGAGTTCAATTTCTGTGCATCTTCCTTCCAGTGAACACAACATTAAATATTTAAGCAATAATTAGATCAGGGACTACAACTGAGGTTTCCATCTTCATTCGTGGATGGCAAAAACAGTGCTGCATCATGAATACTTTTGTTTCCTCTCTTTTTTTTCCTCTCATTCTTGTTTAATGAATATTTCATATAATCATCAAATGGGAGTCAGGCTCAATTTTTTCTCCATTCCCACTCCCAGCTAACCAAGCACTAGGATAACCTTTCCTCTCTACAATATGGGACATAAATGTTTGAATCTATCAGACACAGAAAGCTTATGAAAAAATTTCTTCCAATATCTCATTTAATTTCTCTCACTGCTGCTCTATAAGATAAAAGCCAATCGGCACTTCAGCAGTTGTATTTTGAATGAAATGCTTGAAATAGTACAAAAGTTTCAGGCATCTATCCACAGAGCAAGTTCAGAATTTTTGGAGTGGTGCACTAGCCTAAAAATCTAACTACCATGAAATTATGGTGTGTAAAAAACGGCAGCTTTAAAATATTCCACCGCCTCTGTAGGATTTTCTGTTATTTGTCCTGTGACTGACATACATACATGCCTGACTCTTTCTGTAAATGCTGTATGCCATATCTACCTTCTGGATTCAGCTGTGATGTTGAGGCACCCAAATGCTTCTGTACTTTCTCCTCCTTGACTTAGTTCCCTAATCTAAAATTGGGAGATTTTAATCTTCCTACCAAGAAGGGAAAAAGAGTGACATTAATAATAAGTTGCTATGGAAATGAAGACATTTCAACCCTGTGGAGCATTCAGTTACTCAGATGAACAGTCCAGTAGCTGCCCAAGACAGATAAACATGAGGAAATTCAAAAGTGTTTTTCTTTGGATTTTCTTTGGATTTTTGGATTATTTCTCAGAGCACCTATTTTCCACAACAGTTCAGGTGTTATGTCTTCCCTAGTACTCTTAAAAAAGCACTTTGCACCTTACAAACCTATCTTCTAAACAGATTTTCTGCCATGACTATGTAATTTATGACACATTAATTGCCGTACTGTTACATTATTTAGCTTACAGCCAAACAACATTCTATGTTATTGGTAGCAAGAAGCACAGTTCAGATGTCCCAACAGCGTTTACCAGAAGCAGTTACTGAAAGACAAAAAACAGTGCTACACATTATAAGCTTGTGATTAAAATGTAAATGTATACGATTTGTTGTTTGGGAAATAAAGCATGAATAATGTGTACTGTGACTTGTGTAGCTCTTATCTATATGAGGAGTCACAGCAAGATCCAGTCTAGAAGAACTACATTAGTATGCCCATTTTGTAAATATGCCTATATCGAATTTGTGACTGGCTTACTGTGGCATCACTTGATAAAATTTCAAGGACATGCTCCTTTTGAACAGCCACTTAATACTTCTCCTTTCTTTTTCTTTCCTTGTTTGAACAAGTATATGTGAATTACTCCTCTTTCACACGCACAACATGAAAAGAAATACGATATAAAAAAGATAAAGCACGTAAAAGAAAATTAATGCAGACCGGTAGAAAACTCTAGAAGATTTTTGTGGCAGGTGTATACATAAATGACTGAGGTCAGCAGAAGATAACAAAGGCAAACAGCACAAATTTTAAGTAGAATTATGCACTGCTGGAATGAGAAATTGTCAGCTATTGAGGACTGTTGTTGTCTTTGTGCTGCACTAAAGATTCCTCTTCCCAAGAGGGGATACTTGCATTAAAATGCCCAGAGAGAAAACCTAGACTAGACCAAAAAACACCCCATCAAGAACTGCAATATGTTATATTTATTAGCTATTTTGTACTGTGCAAACAACCCATACATTACTTGTACATGAGTACTTGATCACATCCTAGTAAAGAAGATGAATGCTAATTGTTTATTGTATAAGCTATCTAAAGAAAGCTGTAGGCTTTCTTATTGTAAGCGAAAATAAGGGCTCTCCTATAATGCAAATCTGTTCCAAACCTAGCTTTAAAAATTTAATTGTATGGCTCCATGTGTACTGTCTTTCAATTATCATGTGCACATTTACTTTTTAATGCAACTGTACATATTAATCCAGCACACACAATAATCTAGGATATCTCCCTCTCTTGTGCATTATCAAATATGCCCTCAGTAAGACTATGACATTCTGAAATCACCAGTGAAACTGAATTAAGTGAAAATTTTTTGCAGACAAAAGGACAGCCAGAGGTGGCATCTCTGTACAAACTTACTTGAAATTATGTGGTACATGTGACATAGGGAGTAGAAATTGTACCTGACTACCTTTTAGCTTTGTATCATGCAGGAGTGACCAGGAGCAAAGAGATGCAAACTAATGCTCTCAATAAATCACCTTGTGGGAATGAGGCTACACACAATGTAAAGCTTCCCTCATTAGGAAGCCTCATTTATAAAATGGTAGAGTCCAGACAATAATCGGTGATAATGATAAACCTTTTTTGGTTTACTACAGCCATTTGGAAAGAAAAAGATCAACAAAGATAGAAGACATAAGGGGGAAAAAATTGCTATCATTATCCCTCACCAAGAAGAGTCTAATTACAGCCATTTAACAACTCTGTGAGCATATGATTTGTATCCAAAGAAATCTGGTGCCCTTATAAAGATTTTTATTTTTTTTTTTTAATTAAGTAACACCATGCAGATTAGAGTGTAACAGTGGACAAACTGGGTCAGACCTAAGATCCATTATTTTAATATTCTGATAATGGCCAGTCCTATGTGCTGCAAGAAAGAACAGAACAAGAAGAAATGTACACCTTATTACATTTAAATGTCATCATCAACAGATGGAATTGAGAACAGTTTGTGCTACTCTTCCAAAACACTATGCTCTTCAGTCTTTTACTTTGCCAAGTACGCTGATGTTAAAATCCAAAATAAATTTGTTTACAGGAGAGTTTGTCTCATACCAAATGCTGTTGGCACAAGATACCTACTGAAAGCAAGTGGATTTGCTGTTCAGTATCTAATTTTGTCAGTTCTCCACTTGATAGAGCTGACACATGGAGTGCAAGGCTCACAGGATCACCTTTTAAGACCCAACTGGCTAAAAGATGTGCTGCTCTAAGTCAGGAAGTGTATCACTAAGTCACCTAGAGGAAAAAAGCTCTATGCAGGCAGCTGTGTAACTTCATGCTTCAATAATAAATTCTGCTGCCAGCTTCACTTTTCAGTACCTTGAAAAAGACCCTCAGCTAATTGTGGTTTTGCACATCTGTGGAACATCTTACCAAGTATCGAGTTCCTAGAGCACACAGCACATTAGCACAGAAAGAGGGAAACATGTAAGTAGTAATGAACTACTGGTAAGTCCTTTTACATGAAAGATAACTGTGAAAATATATTAATGTAAAATTAATTATACTCATAACCAGAATAAAAATAATTTAAACTTCACATAGACTACATGCATTGGAAAAGATAAAGACCTACCTCCAGAATATCTATCAGGACATTCTCTTCTGGCTGCTTTGTGCTTCGGACATTCTCCAGAAGGATAGAGTAGTAAACACCTTGCGGGTCAGACTGGTACAGGTTGTATGTGTCTGTCTGGTACCACTCCTGAACAGCCACAAACACCTGGTTTTCATCTGTACTGATTATCTGTAAATCCTGTAGAAAAAATGAGACACAAAATTGTTAATTTTTGCATCATTTCTATTTTATAATCAATAAGCTGGCCAGGAGATTTTAATATGGTGGGACAAAATATGCATCTGAAAGTTCAGTAACAGTAATCTCTCAACTCAATACTAATCAACATGCTGTACCCCACCACTCTGAGGTGGTCAGTCACTGCCTTTTGGCTATAGGGTATAAAAGCGCAAAACACCATGGGGAAGATTAAAATTCTAGATAACTTTTAGTTTGCCGATGACACCAAGCTGTGTGGTTCGGCTGATACCCTGGAGGGAAGGAATGCCATCCAGAGGGACCTCGACACGCTTGTGAGGTGGGCTGATGCCAACCTCATGAAGTTTAACCATGACAAGTGCAAGGTCCTACACCTGGGTTGGAGCAATCCCAGGCACAGCTACAGGTTGGGCAGAGAAGAGATTCAGAGCAGCCCTGCAGAGAAGGCCTTGGGGGTGCTGGTCAATGAGAAAATGAACACTAGCCGGCTTCAGTGTGAGCTTGCAGCCCAAAATCAAAAGGAGCGTGACCAGCAGGTCGAAGGAGGTGATCCTGTCCCTCTACTCTGCTCTTCTGAGACCTCACCTGGAGTATTGTGCGCAGTTCTGGTGTCCTCAACATAAAAAGGACATGGAACTGTTGGAACAAGTCCAGAGAAGGGCCACAAGGATGATCAGGGGACTGGAGCACCTCCCATATGAAGAGAGGCTGAGAGAGTTGGGGCTGTTCAGCCTGGAGAATAGAAGGCTGCGTGGAGACCTCATAGCAGCCTTCCAGTATCTGAAGGGGGCCTATAGGGATGCTGGAGAGGGACTCTTCACTAGGGACTGTAGTGACAGGACAAGGGGTAATGGGTTAAAACTTAAACAGGGGAAGTTTAGGCTGGGTATAAGGAAGAAGTTCTTTACTCTGAGGGTGGTGAGGCACTGGAATGGGTTGCTCAAAGAAGTTGTAAACGCTCCATTCCTGGCAGTGTTCAAGGCCAGGTTGGACAGAGCCTTGGGTGACATGGTTTAGTGTGAGGTGTCACTGCCCATGGCAGCGGGGGTTGGAACTTGATGATCTTAAAGTCCTTTCCAACCCTAACTATTCTATGATTCTATTATTCTAAAATTATGAATGTGCACAAGCTGTGATCTGCTTTTCTACTTTGACTTTTATGAGGAATGATTTCCTGAAATAAAGGTAAAAAAAAAAAAAAAAAAAGAAGAAAAACAGTAAATGGCTTTCCAAGATCTGGATGAGAGTCAATGAAAGACTGAAACAATATAAACAATTATTTCAGAAGCATTTTGTCCAGGGTGAAGCATAACACAGAACAGAGAATCAGATAGAATTTAAGCAGTTACACATACGAAGCAGGACGTATCCTGCACACAGCTCATGTATATTATTGTATATAAGGCTAATTTATCTATGTAGATAGATCCACTTAAATATTCAACAGTAATAACATAAGAATCAACATTCTGCATTCATTTCTTAAGAGTTCCAGGCACGGATATTGCAGCAGCTTGCTTTCACTTTTCTTCACTCCAAACTTCTTTCTCAGACAAAAAAAAGGAAGCACAGCTGGGGAAAACAATTTATCACTAATATTAAACAGAAGAAATAAAGCAGGAAGTAAGAACACTGAACTAAGCTTAGCAAACAGAAGAAGATTAGTTTGCAATATGATATGGCAGCTTAAAGGCAGTTGTTGGGACTACACATGAAATGGCATCTAGTCACAGGGACTTACACTTGTAAACTCTTTATGATTTTGGTGCTTAACCATGACACTATATCCAGTTCTGTCACCTTATTACAGGAGAAAATAACTAAGGCAAAGGAATGAATATTAAATAAAGCTACCAAAATGTCAAGAGAAAATGAGTTTGGAAAAAAACAGCGTTCTTTTTTTTACAAAAAGAAAAAAAGAAAAAAAAAGAAAGTAACTTTTTAGATTTCTAAGACAGAAATAAAATAATTTCTATGAGAATCCAGTTAAGACTGAAGAAAATGAGAGCAACAGTGTATATGTGAATACTTGGCAAAGCAGGGTAGTCACACTTCAGGCAATGTGCACAATGTGACTGAGGTCATTAGATTTAAAAAAGACATCAATAGAAATAAAATAATATGATGAAAAAATATAATATAAACAAAAGCTGGCTATTAAGTAATCATTTAGTTAAATATAAAGTATTTATACATGTGACATCTCAAAGAACCTTAGTGTCATTGTCTCCTATCAATGACAGCTCAGCGCTGTTTTCAAAGACTTTCATGTTGAACTATGTACTAAAGTAGATATTTGTTTAGCATCCCATGAATAGCTGCTCTTTCCTTTTACTCAAAAATTACTCATAAGCAGAAGGTCTAACAGAAATGTCTACAAAACACAGAAACCAATCCCAACCGGTTTTTTGAAAAGCCTCTTGAGTGTATGGAATGCTTCGTCGCCTGCTTTAAACCAGGGCTACATGACGCTGGGTAGCCCCACATTACACTGCACCTAATGCTGAATTCATCTCTTCTTTTGCAGTATGAGAAAACTTCCCCTTATCGAATAAGTAAGGATGGAAATGAAGCAGAAAGTCAGAAGAAGAAATAAAGAAACGGTTATCTTTTACTGTGAAAATCTCTATAAAACCCCTACTCTAATGTGATGCCAAGAGCTTTCAGCAAAATTACCAGCTACGCTTTTATAAGAAAACATTTATACAGTACCATAAACAAACGCAAAACTCTAGTGAATGGCACTTTCCTTGCCCCAAGCACCAGTGGGGGCAGAGGTGACAGCTGTCAGGAGGGAACAGTTTTGGTTCTCTTATCTCAGGGTGAGGTAGGAGCTGCCGAGCCAGTGGAAACAATGCACAAAGAGCTGAAATGTGTGGTGCAGAAGGACAGGAAGATTAATTCTGGAGGGTTCAGGTGAAGGAAAGAGGGGTTGGACAGTTTAGTTTTCTCTTGGCAGTGACTGTTACCAGGAAAGACTGCAGACTGCCGGATGCCAATTTTTTCCTGAGGCAAGAACAGAACAGATCCTGGTTTTAGCAACTGAAATTGTCCTTCATGGTCTTGAACTTTCTTCCTTCTATTCAGAATTTACATTTTCAGATTTCCATTTCAGCCTTACCGCTATTTTCCTTTCACAATAATTTCTTTTCCCTCGAGAAGCAAACCAACCCTACAATAATCCTGCACAACACCCGCTGCATAGTCATGATATAACCCTCTTGGAAAATTAATTGACAAAGTAAAGAAAACTGCAAGTTTCATTCCTGATTCTTAAATTTAACTTTCAAAACCCTGGATGACACAGACTGCTGAAAATCTAGCTAAAGCAAAGTCCTGTCACTCTTGTACTATTCTTATCCTGGAACAATGAATTTAAAAAGAGGAAGAAGACATTGATTGACAAATACAGAGGCCATGTCTTCAGCGTGCCAAGTCCAATCCTTCAGCCCAGCTACCTACTGTTCAACAGATGACAAGCACATGAAGATGGGATGTCAGCAAATATTGCCACACAGAATTTACTGTCGCTAAAGAGTTAAATAGTAAGGACACCCGAGAAAGAAAAATATATCTTCACAGAAGGAATGCAAGGTTTTATTGCTTTATCTATTTCATGGCCACAGATACTACCTTAAGCTGTAATTTCAGCAAATCTTGTAAGGAAAACATTTATTCTTTGGTGATTTCATGCTTGGACTACTGTAATTGCCTTCTTGCTAGAACTCCTGCTTTCTCCCTCCACAGTTTGCAGGCTACTCAAAGTCATGCTGATCATCTAATTTTTCTGTAATTATGGTATTCACACATGATTTATTCAAATTCATTTATAAAGGTCTTCTTTACTGATGTGAGAGATCTTCACGATTTGGAACATTCCTTACTGTCAATACTCAGATTTTTATTAATCTCCAGACTGCTTTTTTGTGCATACTTTCAGTATTTCAGCTCTTGTGCTTTCATTTCCAAGCTCAAATCAGAGTCCACGAACTCTCAGATGCCCCAAGAATGAATCATTTTTCAGATTTGCTGTAGCAAGCGTGTTGTTTCCCCTGTCACATGCCCATTCATCCATGGACATCCCTTCTCTCATCTCCAGTAGTTTACCTTTGCTCTGTCCTGCCTGCCATGTCTTCTCTGTTCCATGTCTTGCTGCCCAAGCACCCATTCCCTTGCCATTCTCACTTCTCTCTTCTCCCTGCCCCACTAGCTCACCAATGGCAATTTGTATCAGAAATAGACTGATTCCCAAATACCAGTATTCTCTATTTATTTTATCTCATCTTCTCAGGCTGCAAGCTTTTGTACAGTTCTGAAATGCTACTAGTGGTATTGTCCAAAACACTTCCTTTTGAGTAAATGTATCAGAAGCACAATAGATGCAAGCACTCAAGGCTGTGTAGTCTCAGCCTTGACCTCCAAATGCATCACATTTATACCCCTGTAAACTCTTAAGTACATTCAAGGTAACCGGATGGCACATATCCCAGAGATAACATTCCTAATCTTCCTTGTCCGGCTGAGTAAAACAGTGCAAGGAGAGAAATCAATTACGAGTTACACTGTGAAAAAAAGAACAGTTCCTTGAACCTACCTTGGATCGATTTGTACAACTTGGGATCCATACAGCTGCTACAGCTCAAGTTCACTGCCTACTGCCATGACACTGCCTGGGAAAAGAATATTTCTCCTGCATCAAATATCACTGCTACCTGTATTTCTATTTTCTTCCTCTTTATTCTTTGTTCAACAGCCATTCCAAAGGACTTTCAGAAGAACGGATAACTAGTCCTGCTACAGCTGCAAACTTCTTTTCTACCTGGCACAGAGGACCAACTTGATGCCTCAAAAGTGGCAAATGGCAGAGATGGTGAAGGGGCTACCCAAGCAGAGACACAATTCTTGGGAGACTAAGAGCCTTGCTAAATGAGCCCTCATAGCTTCAGTCCTTCATAATCCTCACATGGCCAAAGCCTCAA